GTAATGACCAATTAAATAAAAGTGACTTTTTAAAAAATTCTAAAAAAACATGTTATGTTTAGAAAGACATTGAATTATTACATTTCAAAATCATTGAATAAGTTGGCTACTTACTTTACTTCTATTATTTTGCTAATGTTTTTATATATTACTGCAATTGAATGACTTCAGGTTAGAATTTTTTCTCTTGGTAGCTTTCTATCAGGAGTCAATATGCAGGGGGTCGTTTTGCTTGTGTAATTTTAAGAATTCCTCCCAATTCCATAGACTTTAGAATCTTTTGTTAGGTAATTAATTCTAGTTTACAAGTGATGATTTTAAAACAGGCAATATAAAATTGGTATTTTTTGAGACTCAAGCTAATGGGGGTTATCTGTTTCAATTTTTTTCTTAGCATAGCTTTAGTATGGTATAATGATTATGAACATGGGCTTTTAATCTGAATGATCATAATCCTCAGCTCCAAAGTTTAAGGGAACAAATTTATCTTTCTGAGCTTCACTTTTCATATTTTAAAAATAAGTCATACCTTAAAGGAGGTCATCAGGTCAAGTGTGATGAAAAATATGTACTACTTGGCAAGGGCATATACATTAATTATTAAATGGTCAATAAACTCTTAGAAATCAGCCTAAATGGTAGTGCTATCACACATGTACAAAGCTCTTGGCATGATGTAATTTCTCATACTATTTACAGAATTGAGGAAGTAAAAATGATCAGTATTTAACAATGGAGAAATGAATCACAGGATATCCTCATCCTGATGTTTATCAGATACTTAGCTGATCTCAGAAAGAAATACCTTCCATCCTTTTACAGGGAATACTAAGAAGGTCACTTTAGTGATTTACCTTAAGCTCCCATGCAAAGACCAAGGCATTCCTAATTCTGGTGAGTTTCTGGAGAAAGGCAAACCCTACCTTTCCTGTAGTTTGCACCCTGTCCTATCTCTGCCTTCTCTCTTTCAGCTGATGCTGGACAGGTTTGCCTGTTGCCTGAGGGGGCTTTATTACTCCTGTGGGTGTTCCTGGCATCTATCCACAGCCATCTGTCCAGCTGTTCGTGGCTTAGAAATTCCCCTGGATTAGCATGGGCTCCCCCTTGATGTCTAGGTTCCTTTGAGATTCTTGCCCTTGTGGCTAAGAGCTCAAGTACCACCTGCTCCTGAACCACGTGGCTGAAATCATGGGCACGACTTCACTTCATGCCATGGGCCAGCTGTCTGCAAACAGGACCTTTGACCCTCCTGGTCTATAGTGCTTTATGTTAGGCCAAGGAAACCCACTAACTCACAGACAAATTTTACTAAATTTTATGTGTATTGGAAGGAGGAAAGAGAGTACAATGGAGGTGAGGCAGAGTGAAAGGCATGGGCACTTGGCAGATTCTCAGGCCCCTGCAGGTCCATTCCTACCACTGGTCCATGCAGCTGTCTGTATCACCGTGTACTAAGTCCTGATGCCTTTCATTAGCTCCCCTGACCATCCATGCCCTACTGCCAATTTGCATTGATTCCTTTCTCATTTTTTATGGCGTTTTGCCTCTTTTTTCAGACCATGTATTGCGACTATCCATACCCTTTTCTTCACACAGCCCTCTTGCCTACAGCTATGGTGTGAATACATTTGTGTGTCAGTTGGGAACTGATATGAATTTCCAGAAGGTTCTTGTATTTCATATGGGTGGGGAATGCTGCCTAACTCCATGGGTGGGTAATTCTTTATCTCTGAGCAAGTGGAAGCTCCTGTAAGTCCTAATGTTAAATAAAAAACCAAAAAACACAATTACAAATGAAAGATAATTCTAATGCTGCTAAAACAGAATGCACATGAAGGTTGCTGGAAAGAAAAACAAAAATAAATACAATGGTAATTGTTGGGTGATGTGACTCAGATGTTTTCCTTTAGTTAGAGAATCTCTACAATGTATTTTATTACTCTTGTAACAGGGAAATGACAAAATTTAAGAAGTCATTGCAAAGAAACCAACTATATCCTTATTTAAAAGAGAAGTTTTGCTTAGTTTTCTCTTGTGATATTTTGTTAAAAAGAAATTCCGTCTCTTCAGGTGATCCAGTGTCTGTTCTCAATGCTAGTGTTAAAAATAAACCTCTGCTTTGCACACTACAGCATTTTGCTTTCACATTTCTGTCTTTGTGGATATTTTTATCTGTGAATCTGTTATCTATCTATCATCTATCAACTGTCATGTATCTCTCTATCTCCATAAGCACATCTTTAAAGGAGTCATTGCGACCCTCCCACATCTTCTCGCTCCTCACCCTCCTCTCACAGGCCAGCATTGAGTATATTCTGCTTCTCTCACATGTATCCTTTCTCTGGTGATACGAACCAAGGAGGCTGCAACAGGATGTGCTCATCCTGGTAGTAATTGGAAATTGATGTACATCCCAGAATCATCAAGCATAACTAACAGGAATTCTTCACCTCTGATCATGTGGGAGCTCCTGAAAGTCTAATATCAAATAATATTAAATAAAAAGCCCCCAGTTTCTTTGCCTTATGGGTAGTGGAGACCATTGTGAGATATATCTTCCAGAAGGAGAATTCCAGAAGGAGTGATCTTTCCCACAGTGCTCAGTGTTCACTCCTGGAGAAACTTAGAAATATCCATTTCCTGTAGAACATGACTGACATGTTAGATCTGACTCTGAATTAAGTGTGAGCTCAAAATGGGGCCAGGCTTTAAAGAGAATATCATCCCAGGTAGCAATACCAGAGTAATAGTTACAAAGACTTGAAGCATATATACAATATTAGTTCTGGTCCTAGACCCAACATTTCGAAAAGAACATTCGAGACTTGGAAAATGACTATGACTCAATCAGTGGTTAGGAACAATAACAAAGATATCAGCGAAAGGAACCGAATTCCTTGACTTGCAGAATAAATTACACAAAAATGACATAATTCCAATACTTAGATAGGTGGAGAGAAGTTATGCACACAGTGAACAAAATTTGTTCATACTTTTGTAGAGAGCTTTTGGGAAAATAAATTAAAGAAAGGCAAATCTCAACTTGCAAAGATGAATTTCTGTCAGTTATAACCTTTCCTCATGAAATGCAAGATCTGAGCCCCTGTAAATACTTAAGCAGAGGGTTACAATAAACCCTCTGCTTATAAATGAACTGTTTTGTGGTTATCACCTAAAGCTTATTTTAATCACAAGTATTTTGTCTCTTGAATTGCATCAGGAACACTTTAAGCATTTCTGGTTCCTGAAATTTCTTTCTCCTATATTTGTGCTTAGGTTTTGTTCGCAGGCCTGCTTCATGGGTTGACAAGTGGCTCTGAACTTGCTGTCATCATGGTATCCAGGGCACTCTGCCTTCTCCCTTGGGACAGCAATCTCAGGCAATGCACACAGTATCCCAGCTCCACCCATTAGCAGTGGCTTCTTGCCTTTAGAAAACAAAATAGAACCCAGGGGAATGAATGCTAATCAAGATAAGCGCTCATTTTGAATCACTTCTATTTCTGACTTTAATATTCTATCAAGTCTTCCCCAAGGAACACCTCATGACAATTAAACCAGTTTGTGGTGTATGATGTTATTAGCTCAACTCTCAAACTGAAGTGTTCTTTACCTTGAAGACGTACATGTCTACCAGGAAAGGAGCCCAGGTCCTGGTGAATGATTTCCATGGTGCTCCTGCAGGCTGGTGCCCCAGTTTGTTTTACCATAGTTCTTTTGCAGAGGATGTTCTCTCACCTGCTGAGTGGACACTACATATTGTCTCTTCTTCTGCAGGAAAGCAAAACCTGCTACAAAACAGGACAGCTCTACTTTGAACAGAAAGGGGCGTTCGTTTTTCCAGATTAGAGCATGTGGTGTTTCAGCTGGCACAGTTAGGACTGGCAAATTGACACCACAAGGGTTTTGGAATAAATCTTTAAGGGACTAGCTAGGGAAAGCGTGGTGTTATAATACTAATTTATCACTATTATTTTCCCAACAAACATTTACTGAATACCTGCTTTGTTCCTAGAGCTCAGAAATTAGCAAGGAAAAATGATCCCAAGCAAAAAAGGCCCTACTCCTATATACTTCCTGAACCTTGGAGAGGAATGTGAACTCACGGACTCCAAACTGGCTGAGGATGGGGATCCTCACTCCCCTAATGTTTTCCATACCCTCCAGGAGAAGCTCTGGGGCTGTTTCCAAGTGGAGGTCTTCTGACCTCTGTGGTACTTAGGTGTATATCTTCGGAATACACACCTCAAACACGTTCCTTCTTTTCCCGTATCCCTTTTCTTTATCTATCTTTATTTTTCTCATTCTCATCGCTATGATTTTTTTCTTGAGATTCCAGATTTCAGTTTCATGACTTTTTACTGTATTCTCCAAGTACGCTGAGGAAACCACTGGTATTTCAGTCCATTTATGGAAGTTTCTTTAACAGATACCTTCTTCCTGTCACCTAATGCATCACAGTTCCATGGGCATAGCCTTCAGATCCCCTTGATCTCTCTCTGACTGATACCATAATTTTTTGGAATTTTACAGCAGAAAATGTGGGTGCTGTCTGTCTGGGGCTCTAATGAAGTCTCACTGCATCTAGACGAATTGCACTTGATGTGAACGGAACATCAACAGAGTGAGAAACTAGTTCCCTCTAAAGGGAGAACTACAGACAGAAAAGGTTGCAGGGCACAAATGGAATAAAGAGGGATCCTGGGATGCGTCTGTCCCTAGAGCTCCCCATAGATACAGAAGGCCGTCAAGTCCACCTACTCTACCAAAAACACGAATCCAAATGTCTGCCATGGGCATCAGAAATTTTAATTTGGGGTCACACTCTATTTAATAAACTTTTCTCTACTTTGTCACTTACCTGTTCTGTAAATTTTGCATGGTGCCCTCAAATTTTCATCTTGAAGGTGTGTCCTTAGCAAAAGTTAACCATTAGAATTATTTCTTATATTGGTCTGCTTCTATTAGAGTAAAACAAAGTATACAGAGGGACATCCACATTTAATAAGTAGAAAATATTTATTATACAGCATTATCAAGATTATTTGACAAAGAGCAATAACAAGCCAAAGAAAAACACTTGACAAGAAGCAGAACAATTTGTATAATCACATATATTACGGTGAAGAGTTTCTGCCATTTTGGTACAGAGTACATATGTGTACATCTCCAGTTTTTAATTAAGTATGACAGAAGGACTAAAACTCTAAATTATTTAGGAAACCTTAATTACGGTATTAGTAGGCATTCAGAGTAAGGTAATCAGTATTGAATGTGTTCACCAAAGTCTCAGACCAAAACCTCAGAACAAACTAATACCTTCCATTAGTTCAATAAAAATCACTTTTCTTATCTAATGTGACTTTTAAAAAATCTGAATGCACAAGTACTCAAATATTAAGGATATATTAATGGCTTTAAAATTAAAAGACCATGTTTTGCTAATAAAGTAAAATATGTGTGCTCTTATAGGAATGCAATAAGTAGAAATCCATTTATTAAGGACTGGAACCATTCATTTTCCCCATTCTGCTTCACTACAAGGAAAACACAGAATTGAAATTCACATTTAATCATGAGGTCTTTTCAGTAAAGGTGTTTTAAAAACAATTTTGTAAAGCAAAGGTAGTTTATTTTTGACAGAACTCACTAAAATTTGATAGAATATGGTAAAACATAAGAAACAAGGCTCCAAAGTTGGAGTGAATGTTAAATTCTGAATTAATCATGCAGACAATATTTAAAGATTCTAAGATGACTTTTGGCTGAGAAATCAATGGCATCATTGACAGCATCAATATGAAGAAAGTGTTTAAAAATATAACTAAATAGAAGGCATAAACAAAGACATTAAAAGGGATAAGATTCATTCTGCAAATAATAGAAGAAAGAAACACCAGGAAAAATTATTTTATTGAGGATAACAAAGGAGCAAAAATATAGAATAATTGTATTACATGAACATGGATATTACACAGCAGCAAGTGAGAGTCATAAAGAAAATTATGATAGCAAAAAATATGAGAGTACAGGGTATGAAAATAAAATTAAAAGAAGTGTGATTAATGAGTAATACTTGAGAAATCATGACTAGAATCAGATGTTGTATACTAGAGAAAGATGAAGTTCTGTTAGCTATGGGAAATCTTTTTTAAAAAATTAAAATATCCTGAAATAACCTAAACACTGTCTTTTCAGTCTTGTTTTGATAATGACATGTGCAAGTTTATAAAATGTACCTTGTATTGTCACCCACAGTTCTTGTGACCTTTTATATAGTAAATTTTCAGACCTCTTCATTAATAACATTCTTTCATAAAATACCTGAAAAATAATTTTCTCTTCGAAGAAGAATTATCATCTGAACTTCATATGAAAAACACTGGATCGTAGTACTCAAGCCTTCAAAGAACTGCTGCAGGTATGGGTAGCAGCGATATATAAAACATTATTGGAACATGAAAATATCTATGCTATATCCCAAAGACAATCTTCTAGTCGCAGTAGGTTGACATTACATTGCATAAGTTTTATAGTCACATGAATACAAGGACACAGGAACACATTCACTTGCTAGTTACAAGGACTCCCGTGACAATAAGAAAGCGTTACTTGTCATTTAAACCGATAATAGTTGCTATGAGTACACCCTCAGGTTTAAAGATGGATTTGTTTCTGTAGTACGTATGAGAAACAATGGCACCACATTGTACGTATGTATACTGAATCTTAGAAGCCCAAGGGTTTCTTTCATTTGCTACAGTAAAGGGAAGGTAACACTTCTGTCACCACGTGGTTTGTTCTGCTTAACTGAAGGGCAATGGCGTTGGCCTAAGCACGAATGAATCCACAAAATGTCTCTGCCACTTTCAGAACAATCTGCTGTCCTTGTCTTTCTCCAACATCACCAATCAGCGAAGGCGGTAGTGCAGATCAGATTTTTGAGAAAACCCACGCTTGGGTGTCACCGTTCCTCTTTCCTCCCATAGCATCCCCAGGGAAGCACTTGGTGCGATTTTGCTTTTATTCTTCTAAAGAGGGCAGCTGAAGAGCGTGGGAGGTTGGGCCCCTCTCTCCAAGTGCACTGGCTGAGCTGGCACCGCAGGACAGCAGTGAATGGCCCTCAGGTCAGACTCTGGGTCTCCTGAACACCAGGCCTTTGTGGGCCAATGGGAAGAAGAGCTTCTCAGCAGGAGCTCTCCTGGCCCCTGGGGTCCCCTCCTTTCCCCACCTTCTCTGCCTGGTTCCACCTACTTCCGAGGAAGGCCATGACCTAAACTGGCCAGTCAAGAGGCAAGTCCACAGGCGCTGTCCCTTCCCAAGCATGGCCGAGTATGTGCAGGCGTGTGTATGGATGCTCCGTTGTGCACAAGAGATTATTTTTTGTTGATTTTCTTTATTTTATTTTATTTTTGTCTGCGCTAAAAGTTACATACCATACAGAATTGTGCTTTGTCTGAATTCCTTTTCCTCCTAGAGAGGGCTTGTGAGTAAGCTAAGCATCAGCATCCTGGTCTGGGTCTCTGCTGGAGGCCTCTCTCCCTCTCCTTCCCAAAGGCTGCAGCAGCTCGCTCCCTCTCTCCGCCTCGCCCCTCCGCTCCAGGCTCCTCCGGGTTTCTGCACGTCTCTGGAGGGGGAAGCTCTCAGGCTCACCTTGCTTCTCCGCCAGGACACCTCCTCCCTACAGGGTGGACGAGCTCTGCTTGTAGTCCCTCAGGATGACAGAGGCGTAGGTGACGCTGGGAGGGGTGCAGAGCACCGACTCTGACACCGGCGAGCTGGGCACCGAGCTGCCCGAGGCCACCGAGTCTCGGAAAGGCGACGGAGGCGTGAGGGCCGGCGAGTCCTCCGGGGTCAGCTTGCTGGCCGCCTGCGGGTCCTCCTCCTCCTCCTCCAGCTCGTCCTCCTCCGTGTTGGCTTCGCGCTCGTGCTCGTACACGTACTCCTGCAGGAGTCTGAACTTGTCGCTGTCGTCGTCGTCCTCCTCCGCGGGCGGGGAGCCAGGGTCCTCCCCGAAGGTGCTCAGCTGCAGCGGCAGCATCTGCAGGTGCTGCGGCGCAGGCGGGGGCGGGAACAGGGGGCGCAGCCCGTTCTCCTGCGCCCCGGGCCCCCCCAGCACCGCGTGCAAGTCTGGGATCCCCACGCCGAAGGTGCCCACCACTCCCTGAAGCTGGTCCATCAGGCATTGCTGCTGGGGCGGGGGCTGTTGGGGAGACTGCTGCAGGGGAGGGGGTAAGGCCTTGGGGACCACCGGCTCGGCCAGAAAGAGGGGCGTCTCCTCTGTGGTCAGGCGGGGCGCCAGGGGCGGCGTGGTGGCGGAGGGCGCGCGGCGGTGCACGGCCAGGGAAGGGCTGCGGGGAGGGCTGAAGCGGACCGGCTGGGCGTCCTCCTCCTCCTCCACGTTGTACAGGGTCTTGGTGCTGGTATCGGAAAAGGTCAGGCTCTTGCCGGAGCCCTGGTAACTTTTAGTGAGGGGCTTGATGACGGCCGTTTGGTTGCAGGCCGTCTCATTGGTCTTCACGTGCACAGAGAGGCGGTGCCACATGTGCTGTCCCTTGGGTACCTGTCTTCCACCTGGTTCAGACCATGACACAGACTTGCCATTAGAACTATGAATAAAATAGAGATGGGTTTATTTGCAGACAGATCATGCACAGAGGATAAATGGCATATATCAGTCCCACACAAACCCTGCTCAGGGCACTGTCCCTGCACCTTCCACCCCAAGGAAGCCCTTCCTCCCATCCCCACTGCTGCCCCAACTACCAACTAAAGGAAGGACACCACTGCAGTTCTCAGGGAGAAGCTGCAGCCGGGGCTGGCGCCCCCATGCCAAGAGAGGAAATACCGACTGGGAGCAAAGCTGTTGGGGAGAAAAGCCTGCCTGTTGTAGAAACAGCTATTTTGGAAGATTTCAAAGTCACCGCTCCAACTCACACATACACTCTAAGGAAACAATGTTTATCCAAATGCAGCCCCGTGGATGATTCCCAAACTGGTGGGAGGAAATAAAATGTCTCAGTTCTATACTGACAGGTGCGCACAACGACTTTATGTGGGTGAAGTGGAGATCTGCATTTAAAGCTATTGTCATTGTTCTATAGAACTGTGTGAAGCAGACCCTCTCTGGGCCCATTTGCATGTGTCAGTATTCCTGACCACATTCACCACACCCAACCCATGAGAAAAACCTGATGACAGGCAGGCCTACACCCACGATCGATCCACTAAGGTGATGCGTATTTTTATTTCAAAACATTATGACACACACACTCTGTGTCTCACGTCACACAAAGACCCCAATTCACAGCAGCTGGAATGAGATTTTCACAAACTAGGTGGGAACACTTCACTATGTGTGTTTGGAAACAGAATGGGGAAGCCCTGCAGGATACTGATGTGCTTTGGTATCCTTCAACAGATTTTGATGCAAAATAGACAAAATGAAAATTCAGAGAGAGCAAGCAGTTCTGCTCCCTGAGCCGCGATAAAGAACACTTTCACAGTTCCAGGGGCCTCTGGCCTTATCCAGTTTCAGCTTCATGAAACTCTCCTACAACCCACAAGTAGAATGTCTCTGTGCAGGAGAAAATGAAATGTACAGCGTACATAGACCACAAATTCTACTCTGCCTATTGCAATAATTCTGGTCTTACTTTTGGACTTTTAGCAGATGGTGGTACCTTAACAACACATTCTAATACTAACAACATTATTAATGCTTAATAGAAGTCATTTCTTCTGTTATTTTAAGAGTTTGCTTTTTTTTTCTCTATAGCCAGTAAAGCAACAGAGAAAGCAGCACAATAAGAACACATTTGTGATATTTAAAGGAACAGAAAAATGAACATTTTTTCCTTATGTGGAGGTGTGAAATAGACTATTGCACATCACAGTCTTTTGTTGTAGAAAAAAATAGAAAATGATTTATAGTATAATGGTTTGTTTAATCATCTTGAAGAAACAGGAATAAATGCTTCAAATAACATGACTGCCACATTAATCATGAGATTAATACTTTGATATTCCATGTTTTGTAATATTGAAAACTGAAGTGAGACAAATAAGTACATAGTCATGTAGATAATCTGATATTTAGTCTGGAAAAATCTGGATATAGGGAAGTACAATAGATATAACAGTTAAAAATTTGAAGGTTTTTCCTCTACCTATCTGATAATTCAGGTTATATTTTTAATCATCTAAGAAAAAATTTCATCTCTAAACTATTACATCAAAAATAATGTTTTTTTCAACATGTTTCATACACTATTTGGAAATGTATAAGTGCTTACAAATTCTAAATTTTCAAATTATAGATTTTCACGGTATCTTGTTGGTGTAGTCTCCTCTGAGTTGAACCAAATAAAGAACAGGACAATGGTTTTCCTAGCAAAACTATAATCAAACCTCCAGCCAGAAGCAGACTCAGAACCACAGTTCCTCTTCTGAGTTTAAAACTCCCGTAAGCCCACCTCCAGGTCCCGCTTGCTCAGCTGTCCGCACCCACCGCTCTGTGTACCCCATTTCTTTGTGCATTTGGTGTGGCTCTTGCAAAAAAAACCCTTCTATTACTCTTACCTTCCTTACATATGCCTTCCAACCTGCTGATTATTTGCAGAGGTAAAGCCTTTTTCTTTCTCAAGTGCCCATCCCTGATAGTCATTAATGGAATCATTAAATGAAAATGCCATCATGTGTCTTCACTTAATTGCGTGTGTATTTTAAAAAGAAAAGGCGCCTGACGGTCGGTTTACACCTACCTTAGAAGCCTTGATAACACACTATCCAAGGCCCTCTTCTACGATGAAAATGTGTCTCTGTATTCCCGGGAGACCTCAGGTGATGCCCCCTATTTCCCTCAGTCATATAGCTGTTTTCAGCATTGAGGGGTCCCCTGTGGGCCTGTGTCTCCATTACACACATCCACATAGGAACAGTTTTAATAGTGACCTTGCAGATAGGTATATTCACCATTTAGTTCTGTCACTGAACCCAAATTTCATGTTTTGTGGTGAAAGATTTTCACTATGGCTGTCCAAATAGCAGCTTTCCTGCCCCGCAGGGGCCTACATACTGAGCTCTTTTCTTAATTTTCATATTGAGACTAGATCTTGCTAAATCGCTAAATTGTTTCAGGCTGGGTTCAAATTCCCAATCTTCCTGCCTCAGTCTCCCAGAGTGATGGATTCCTAGATATGCTCTACCAAACTCAATTTATTTTAAAACACCTGCAAATGCTATTTTGATAAAGTGTACTGTCATATATAAATATAACCCAATCTTGACTACCTTTTGTTGTGTTCTGTGCTTAAGTGATCTTTAATAAAGTTCAAGTAAAGGCTTAATAACTTTTGATGGGAAATTGGAGTATCCTATTTGAAACGGCTGAGAACTCTTTGCTGTGATGTGAAGAGAAAAGCATAAAATACAATGCAATAATGCATATACATAGATAGATAGATAGATAGGTAGATAGATAGGTAGATAGATAGTGTTTTCTATATAGTATTTTCTCATTCTATTGTGATACCCATAACACATCTATATATGTGTTATGGGCATCACAACAGAATATATATCATAAAAGTTAAATAATACTATGAAATAAAGATTTTGTATAATTCCAGGGAACTTTAATATCTTCCATTTCAGCACAAACTTCTTTCTATTGCTTAATTTTACTTGATTTCTTAATGTTAAGTAAACCAGTTTGGTTTGAAACATATCACATAATTGTCACAAAACACCCATCCTTCTCATTTGAACTTCAAAAGACAAACCTAAAATAATCTCGTATTTGAAGATCAACTGTAGCACAATTAGGCCAAATGTCTCAGGTGGCTAAATATATTTATCAGTCTCCAAGAACTGGAGGAGATGCCTGGCAGGCCTAGAGGAAGTGGAGATGTTAAGAATGATGTATACTTTGCACATGCAAAACTAGGTGGGCTGAGATGGCAGCTCCAGCTACAGACAGGTTCAGGATCTTTTTTTTTTTTTTTTTCACTAGTTAAGTATCACAATCCCCCGAAACACAAAATCCAATATTTACAGCAGTTTAGAGAAGAGCTGAGAGTGGGTGGTGTAAACAGATTAGTGTATCTGGCGTTCCGAGTGATACTGTCTGTTTTATGTTTCAGTAAGCACTAGTTACATCTGCAGAGTAAACTGCTCTCTGCTCAGAGAGATCTAAAATGGGAAGAACAGTGGGTGGGTGCTAGAGATCAGGAGGGAAGTATCGTGCACGCTGAAGCTGCTGAAAGGGGCGGGTTACACAACACCTGTGTCCTGCGTGTTGCATGAGTCCATGTCCCTGCTGCAGGGCCTCATAGCTTCACAACAGAGACAAACAGTCTGCAGAAAGCTCACAGGCAGAAGAGACCTTCCATGATGAAGACAGATACATTCTTTGGAACATGAGGCCTTAACATATATTTTCTTGGAAATCACATGAAAATGGAAACAGGAATTGCCATTGAATCCCATTATGAGGAGAACAGGATACCAAAAAAGAGCCCATACGCATCTTTGGGCCACTGCTACTTTGCTTCCCAAAGCTGCAGCTGGGTGTGGTGCCACCTGGCTAAGACTGGCCTGAGGGAATGCTGTGGGCTGAGCCTCTGACCCTGCCCACAGGTGTTGGCTAGCTGGTATCAGAGCACAGCCTGCAAGGTGGTTCTTGGGTTTCTCAGGCCTAGAAACTCTTAAAGTCAGACTTCTGTTTTTCCTGGGAACCCCAAGGTGGTCTTCTACCAAAGGACTCCCATTAACTCCATGTCTATTTCTTGAAAGCTTTCCAAAATATCTGCATAGTTAGCATGTGTTCTCCAACCCATGCACCTATTTGAACACAATTAAAATTTCCTGCACTTTGATTTATCATTTGCTGTGAGGTAGAGAATTTCTGAATACATTTTTGAAAAGAAATGCTTCTTATTCTGTGAGAACTTGGTGGTTTCCGTTCTTATTATATTTATTTTTTTGGGGGGGGGAGGGAGGGTTGAGATAGGGTCTTGCTATACACTCCAGGCTGACTTGGAACTCATTATGTAACCCCAGCTGGTCTCAAAATTACAAGGATCCCCTCACCTCAGCCTCTCAAGGACTGGGATTACAGATGTGCAGCACCACTCCTGGCCCTTATTAAATCTCAAATAGCATTGTGAATTTTATGTTTTTCCCCTTCTAACTCTAACCTGATCATAAACTATTTATAGGACCACTAGTTTGCTGAAATTTATAAGATTACAACATTTAAATCTTTAGATTAATTCTATTACACATCTTCAAGCTATATGATACAGCACAAATATGACAACACAAAAACTCACTGCCTTTATTAAGCCCAGTGCTTTCTTAAATAACCTAGTAGAGAAAAAGACAGCTAGAGGTTACATATCATATCCGGATCAGTGAAGTATAAAAGTTCCTCATCCCCACAGTTTTCCTTGATATAGTGTCTACTGTTCTGTAAAAATTCCCAAGTCAGTTCCAAAATAAATTCTAGGATTCTGATGTTTACTAAACTTTTTCCAAGTAAAACTGAAATAATCTTTGGTTCAACTTAATCACAATTTACTGACAACATAAACTCCCATGCCAAAGC